ATTGAAAGTGAAAGTGCAAAAAAACTAAGAACATAAACTTCCGTGTTTATAATACAGTCCGTGGCTCAAAACCGCTTTACTTGTTACGTTCGCAAATCGTAACATGAGAAACGTGCCTGGCTCGCTTTCAGATGCATATCCTGTTAAAGAAAACTACTTTTGTTACTGCTTACCTGGAAATGATAAAATGCCAAGGTCCACCTTTCCAACTACTTTAGCGTGTTGTTAACAGACTTCTCCCGTTTGATCACCACAGGAAGTAGGGGAAGGTTGAAAACGAGTCACGTGAAAGTTTTTCACCAATGGGATTGCTGATTTCACTTGACGGGGCCACCAACAAAGTAAATCGAAACCATGTACCCTCACAGAGCATACACAGGTCAACAGTATGAAGAGTTCTCAGAGATTACCGGAAATTCTACTTGACTGTTTCCCAGCTCTGTTCGTGATTCCGTACTCGAGTTACAGTATTCGTCAAAACGTTCCATACAAATTTACAGAGATCGGCAAAGAAGTGTTCGCCGAGGGTCGCGAGGTTCGCGGCCGCAAATCGATGAAAACGTGTTAAAACACATCTGGAATTGAAGCGATAATTTCATCCTCTTGACCTTGAAAACTTTCACATCAAATATGCACAAGATGAGTCCTTTTCACATGTCTGGATCTGTCTCACATCCTCGTGGCCATAATGAAGTCGTGTGGTGCCAAAACTGCTCGAATGTTATCGACCGGGGAGGGACTACTCCCGGAAAAATTGTGCGGCCCAGTTCGTAAACCCCGTCCCCTATTTATGACCAAAATCTGCGATTTTCCCTACCCTATTTATTTCCTGACCAAAAATTTGATAGCCTATTTATGACCGTTGCAGCCGGCACAGTTGCCCTAAACATAATTTGTGAAGGGCTTTTGTTCATGGTCTTACCGATAACGATGACAAAGTAGGTTCTTCTAAAACATACCCAATTCAAGATTAGCGTGCAAAAACTATACCCGATTTATGACCAAAATGGCGAAAATTGATAACCTATTTTATGACTAAAAGGGCTGAAAATCCTACCCTTTGGGGCCGCACATGCCTATATAGCCTATATAAGGAAGTACTCCCCCAGGGGGGTATTGAAGTGAAAACTTACTAGAGAGTATATATCACTGATTACGGAAGCTCTGTTGTGCGAGTGAGCAGGGGCAGAGCAGGAGGGGTGGCATAATAGGAAGTTAAATCGCCGTCAGAATTTCATGCAATCGTCATGGACGTTATCTTAATATCACACTTGGTTAGAAAGTACAACTTTTTTGAAGGTTTCAATCTACATTCAATCTCTGCAAGCTTTTTCCCTTCAACAATTGTGGATATTAGAGAGTTGTGAGGTGATTATGTTAAGCTCAATGAAAAAAATTAATGACTCGCTTATCATGGAAAATTGTCGTCACTTTACAGATGCAATTTAATCAACTGAAACAAGGACACCAGAACATATATACTTAACACCATAGACTTTTGCAATAGTTATTAACCAAACAGTAGTCAGCAGGACAAACTGGGGACCCATAAAATAGGCTTTCCATGCTGAAGGATTCTCACTGGGGATACTAAGGTGAAAAAATGACAAGAAGTCCCCTTATGGGTTTGAAATTTGCGACCCTTAACCTAGGAAACTTTAAAGACTTTGATTGGAGAATTCTGGGGTTAAGTTCTCTAGTGTCTGGATTTCCTCACTCATATCACTCAGGATGCTTATGCTCTAAATATCAGAGCTTGGTCTAATCCAAAACCTTTACTTGATCACACATTAATCACCTGGCAATGCCCTGTAAGCAGTTGAAAAAAGTCACTTGTATAGAGCTCTAGACGAGAAGGCAAATAAAAGAATGATAGGAAACAGTGTCTATGACTATCCTACCCTATCCTTTAATGAAATTATCACATTTAACATAGTGTGGAATTTGAATCAAACTTGTAACACCTGCTCAGTTTGCAACTGCACAAGATTAGAAGGAACAACATGGCTTTAGAGACAAACTCACAAAAACAACTACTGACCAGTATAAAATTAGAACCTTCAGATGGGAATGTGGTCTGTGACGAAATACAGTGTACTTCAAACTGGTTTCCCTGTTATGTTATGTTTCTCTTTCTGGAGGAGTGGCCTGAACAAATGTGACTAGCAATTCATGGAAAAAGAATATAACTGTTTGACATTTTAAGAGTGAATTGTTAATTCTCTGCATATCCTAAAAACTAATACCCGCTGTCTGTTTATAGACAAGTCTCTAATAAAAGTTAACTATCCTTTCTAAGCTTTCAGAGAAAGTTTGTGCTTCAGTGCTCATATACACCTAGTGCATCAATGATGTCAGATATAGATTCAATGCCAAGTCACCACCTGCTGCATTGGCATTGAAAGTTTTATGGCATGAAGGACATTTTGTTTTAAGAAGATGGCCAGAGTAATCTACCACTTTTGATTCAACAGCACACAAGGGACACTTGTATCTGACTGCCTGAATTCCTTGCAGTGATCTCATCAATTTGGCAGCAATTTTAGCACCATGCTGGTCATAGGCTCTCTTTTCTTTCTGACTCAAGCTGTCCAAAGTCCAGAACACATCAAAGAATTTTAGGCCTGGTAGGACATTAATTTTTGCATTCTGCACCCTGAAGAACCCATTGTCTGCCCAGTCATCCCCCCATGAATTCATTAGACACAAGCTCTCAGCATCATAACTTGTCAGAACTACTGCATGGCCACCAGGGTTGCTTGTTGAGTGATGCTTTGAATCAAGGTAGGATCTTGTAAGAATTCCTTTGGGATTCTCCTCATAGAACTGGTAGAACTGATCCCACTGGGCTCCACTCAGATGAAATCTGGCAACCACCGCTTGTTTTGCAGAAATAGCCTTCATAGCACCAATAGCATCTACCTCTTTGCACTTCAGACGATACTTTGGACAAACTTCTTCAAGAACTCTTTTGGTTGGGGCTCCATGCTCTCCATATTTAGCAATCAATTCACGCCTCACTTCAAAGAAATCTGGATAACCACCATCTCGTCCTATGATGCGCTTCATGGCAAGGTGTAAAACAGC